TATATATATATATATATATATATATATATATATATATATATATATATAAAACATTTATTTTGTATCGGTTGTATCATAATTTGCCATTCCACTGCTGAAAAATCTACTTCTTTCCTGGAAGAAATTGAGAGAGAGAAGGATAAGACAGAACTATGTAATCTGTTGAACTGTTAGCTATTTTGACAGAATCATAGTCTGCTTTCATATCATGGTTTCATCCAGTATGTTACCAAGGCACTGCTTTATATTTTCTGATTGCCCAACTTTTTTTTTCTGATTGCCCAACTTTTTCTGATTGCCCAACTTTTTTTAACATTTTAATATATCCTATCCTATCCGTCTTCTCTAATTTCATCCCACCCACCTCACCCTACCTCACTTTATCCCCTCCCATCTCATCCCATTCCATGCCAACAGAGATCTTCTTGTGCATGTGAACATAATACTTGTGGAGAAAGCTGTGATCGGTGTTGTCCTGGATTTAATCAGAGACCATGGCAAGCTGGGACTTTCCTTGTAAAACATGAATGTGAAGGTAATAGATGGATGTGATTCAATGGATGTGATTTATAACATAAATCAAAACAAAAAGTCTTACCAATATATATTCATTGTGATATAGTCACATCTAGTTCTCCATGCCATTTGGATGAGAAACTGGAAAAATGCTATGTAATTTTCTCTGTGGTTCTTAGTGGAAAAAACAAACTGAAATTAGAAATAAACATTCTAAATTATAATTGTATCAGATAATAAAATCAAGTTAACTACACATATTTGATGATGAACAGGTTATCATGTTTGTAGCTACTGTGGAAATGTATATTTATTGAAGATTAGTGTAACTGTAACATGTGCAATACTTTTGTTTCAATCGGATAAATTAAATATCGATTTGCATTCAAAATAGTGGATCCAATTAGTGGTTAATATTCTTGAATTGCATTCCTTTAGATCTGTTTATTTTTATTTTTTTGTTAATACAATGCAATGCAAGTTCCTAAAATAACTTAGAACTAATAGTGAATGACAATTTTTAATATTAGCATGTTGTTATAAACAAGATAGTCTTAGCATCTTAAAAACTTTCTCATGGTATAAGCTTAAAAACAATTGTAGTTCATAATAATGTATAACTGGTCAGAATAAATGAGATGCTATCATCATTTTAGCACAGAATTTTAAAAGGGTTCAACCATAATTAGTCATTCTGAAGTACTAGAATCATTCCCATTAATAATAGCCTTCTGTGTAATACATTTTTTTCAACAACTTAGTTAACTTACAAAATATTGGAAGTCTATATAGATTTTTTTAAATGGTACTTTGGCATTGTCAGAGGACCAAGTCTGGAAAAGGCACAGAAGATTCTTCCTTAACATGATTTGGAAAGGTAATAATACTATGATGAATTCCTCAACATAATATGTGAATGGCCACTTATTAAATTCAAATAGCTGAAACTTTCTGGTGGACTAGGATCAAAACATTGAAAGAATATTGTTAATTCCTGCAAAAAAATGTTTTTACATGAGTGCAGACTGATGTGATGCTTGTTAATATACTTCCGCTCTTTAGCTTGCAACTGCCATGGGAAGGCAGAAGAATGTTATTATGACCAGACGGTGGCAGACAGAAAGCAGAGTTTGAATATCCATGGAGAATACCTTGGAGGCGGAATATGCATTAACTGTACCCAGAACACTGCGGGCTTCAATTGTGAAACATGCATTGATGGATACTTCAGGCCAAAAGGGGTAAAGGATCCATAATTCTGTTCTCTGAATTCCAAGACATCATTTCCGATGCTACCATATTAAATGAAAAGAAAATAGCACTCTGAGCTGTATTTATTCTAGTCTCTCTACCTACTAGTTCCTTTTCAAAATGGGAAAACCTAAAATGGGAATTTAAAAGGAATTTGTGTTGGTATGAAGAAACACAATGAAAGAACAGAACCTTCTGCTATTATTTTGCATGGATGAAGATGTAAATGTGTAAATCTAAATTTTGGTCAGTAAATCCATGTTACATTATTGCAACCATCAATAGGAAAAGTAATCATGGAATCTCCCCAGCTTGCAATAAAGGGAAGGATAGTGCTTAAGCTTCCAAATTAGGTTAAGACAAGTGACATGATAGGAGGACCAGTAGATCACTTCATTGCTTTGTTTTTACTTCCATAGGTTCATCCAAATGATCACCAACCATGTCAGCCGTGTCAGTGTTATTCTGTGGGCTCTTTAGATGGCACTTGTGTCAAGGATGAAAAGCAAGCTACAGGAGGTGAGATGCTTGACTGATATTAAACTTTATGTCCCACATCTTCCAAATTAATGTTAAGCAGTAGCTTCTTTTCAGTAAGCTATTTCTCTGATAAACATCATCTTTTGAAATCTAGTTGCCTCTGTTCCTGCAGAGCTTCCCCTCAGAGACCCAAGCTGTTGTCTCTCATGTTTTCTTTTTGGTATTGCTATGTTGTGACATTCGCAAATGAAGGCAGGATTTTTTTTCCCAATGGACTTTTAATTTTTCTTCCTTTTCTCTCTTTTTTTGGAAAGTTATTGTTGTGAACTTCTATGAAAACATTAAAAATATATATATTTTCCCTGGTGTGCAGTCCACAATGGTCTTCTAAAAATAGCTGTACATCTGAACTGTACATTTACATCATTCTGAAAGATTTTTTTAATCATTTTGCCAAGAGCAAGGTTCCTTCTCTTGAGATGGTAATTAGACCTAATTCACATCCCCAATATTATTTTCTCCATTCTTATTTGCACTTGAAAACCAAAATAAGACCATTTATGAAATGACACATTATAAACTATGTAAAATTGCATTGTAGTCTTAGTAATATCTAACGGCAGTTTCTGATAACTGAATACAGTTTATACAACAGCTGACAACATTTTTTTAGGATTGGTTGTTGCTAGGATTAGATTAGATGAGATGAGATGAGAATACAACAGACCTCACAAGGATTTTTTTCCTATAAGGCAGATTGAATAGAATAGTATTAATTCTATTATCTTTTTGATATTACCACAATGGTGAATATATTAAGACATTTTTTAAAAGATACACCAAAGACTTACAAGTTAAACGTCCAAAAGAAGCAAGAAATTGATAAATATATTGCATAAAAAGTTTTCTTTTAACACATGAGGTCAATGTCCTTCTGCTAGTCTGAAGATGTACAATATGGTTTTATTTTAAGGGAGAATGAAATATTTAGGTTTAGTAACTAATAAAAACTCATTTATTTATTTGCAGAAACCCTTCTTTATTAAAGTAAGGGAGAGTTAAATGTTCTATTATCAACCTGATAAACTAGAAGAAGCAACACTGTCTAATAATGAATCAATCTTACAAACTGCTTAAAGGAAGTAAGGATAAATGTTAGTTGCTCATAACATATACCCTAAAACAACACCAAGATCCCAATTTGACTGAATCTAAATCACCTGGAAAAAGTTAGTCCTTATTTGAAGGAAAGGCTAGAAAATGCATTTATTTTGACAATAGATGTTCCTGACATATTTGCAGATCAGTATGATTGCATATTAGGTGTATTGAAATTGACTGTGTTAATGCTTGCAGTTTTCAGTAAGGAAAAGTGTGTATTTGAAGGGGAAAAAAATTCTGAATTATTACCCCAAGGGGAATAAGAACACTTTGTTCTTGGAGGATAATGGGATGGGATGACACTGAGTGGCTTTTTGTCAACTTAAAGTTTAAACCTCATGTCTTTCTGTGCATTAATGCAAAGGATTGTGGGATGTAGTTATAATGGCAGCAAAGTACTCTAGGATCGTGTTATGTTCTTTATCAGTCCCATTATCGCTGCAATAAAGAAAGGAGTCCATTATCACGTTTGCAGAAGGTTTTTTTTTTAATAGAATCAGAATCCATAGACTGCCCAGGACCTAGTTTTATAGATAAACACAGGCATTTAGGTATTTTCCCTGGATAAAAAACTTTGATCTTGTACTGCCTGAATCATTTACTGTATGTGTTCTACAGTGGTGGGATTCAAAAAATTTTACTACTGGTTTTGTGGGCGTGGCTTGGTGGGCATGGCAGGAGAAGGATACTGTAAAATCTCCAGTCAGAGGTGGTATTTGCCGGTTCTCTGAACTACTCCAAATTTCCACTACCAGTTCTCCAGAACTGGTCAGAACCTGCTGAATACCACCTCTGGTCTTCTGCTGCATCAATTTCCCACTGCCCCCCCCACTCTGCCAAGAAACTAAACACTATTTTTATGCTGATAAAAGTTTACACTGCAGTTAACAAGAAACTCACATGACTACACTGCACTAAAGGAAAAATAAATCAAAATTCAGGTATGTTCATGTTCATGCTTATAGTTAGAACATGGTGGCATTGACCTAGGTCTTCCAAGATGTAGGAAGGTAGCCTTACTGCTTTTTATTTTTTTTTGAGAGGAAAAGACTCAGGTAGAGCACACTACACTTGATCTGACACAAAATGTGAACAAGCAGTATGGGAACCAGGCAGGGGTGGGATTCAAATTTTTTAACAACTGGTTCTGTTGGTGTGGCTTAGTTGGTGGACGTGGCTTGGTGGTCATGTCACTGGGTGGCTTGGTGGTCATGTTACTGGCTGGGCTTGGCCAGCTCAACATCACTCACATCGAGGCACGCATCTTCTTGCCTAGCCTCTCATGACTGTGGGGATACTGCAATAGTCATGTTAAAAACGGTCATAAGTCACTTTTTTCAATAGTCACTCCACACAAGGAAAGTACCAGCAAAGGAGGGGAAAAAAATTCCAGAGATGTTCCTGTGACAGGAAGTCTAGTTCTGCCAAGAATGTAATAAGGCTTAACGGAGAGGCAGTTTCTGTAAGCAACACCAGAATGTTTCCTTCCTGCCTTCCTTACAGGATTAGGCCAGTAATTTCTTCTAACAACCAGTTCTCCGAACTGCTTAAAATGTTAACAACCGAATAGGTGTGAACTGGTAGAATCCCACCCCTGGAACCAGGGAACGTTGCCTCACAATGCAGATAGCAGGCACAATGTCTATAAGATTACATATGACAGGAACCATACTTATAAGTTGCTTGTACTATCCAACAGGGTAGGGGGGAAAATGATGTCACCATTGTTTCTAACATTTCCTATGTCAGTAATTATTTCTCTTTATTATCAGTACCATTGCTGGAGCCTAGCACCCCTTTTATTGAGTAAACTTTGGTTAACCTGCCAAATGCCAGAAATTCAATTATTTTTATTGCCGGTTATCAACATCATCTTTTGAGGAGGTACCCTGCCACCCAATTAAACATTGATGGAAATGAATCTGATTTTGATCATGATTTTCCACACTTAGATAACTTTCCTAGTTAGAACTCATTCAGTTTTCAGTTTCCACTGCATTAATAATACTGAGCTTGTTGCCGCCTTGATTGTGCTGCAGGTATGCACCCTGGATCTTGTCACTGTAAGCCAGGTTTTGGAGGAGAGAGATGTGATTGGTGTGCATTGGGCTACAAAAACTTTCCTTACTGTGTGCCCTGCAATTGCTCTCTGAAAGGCAGCTTGAATGATGATCCTTGTGAAGGACCTTGCAGGTGCAAGGTATGTATTTCATTTTCTCCTTTTTTCAACATTTAGTGAGTTTAAACTTTTCATCTGTAACATATTCTCTTTGTTGTAAATACTTCTGGAGGTGTCGTGGCATCAAAATGCCATGACACTATTCCTTGAAGTTCTTCCAATGTGGATTTGATGTTTTAATGTGAAGTAATCACTTAGTGAGTTATTCTTGTTAAAGCAGATTTCTTTTCCAAATAATGGCTTTATGAAAAAAAAAAAATAGCACTGGAATGTTTATATAACATCATTGTTTTTCATTATTTCATTTGTTTAGGGGCATCTAAATACTGATATAAAAACTCAAAACAGAAATAAATTGTTCCTAATAGCCCCTCCCCCAAATCTCTTCCCTTAAAACCTTGAAGAACTGGGTCTTCCCCTGAGCATTGGGCTAGTGAGAGCCTAAAGCTCAGGAAATATGTATGGGGGAATGAATCTGGGACACTTAGAATTGTTTTTCTCTGATGTTTTACTTATTAATTAATTTGTCATATTTATATAATCGCCGATCTCAGAAATATGGCTCTGAGTGGCACACAATAAAACATGAGCCTTACAGTGAACCATATCTAAACATAGCATAATTTAACAACAAGCGAACAAACTAACATTAATATTTTTTAAAAGAGTAGGAGACAGAATCTTTGGTGTGGCAGGTAATATAGCCATCTCATCAATTCACCTTTTCTTTGAGATACTGAAGCCTGTTGACACAGGTTGCTTTACTGTTGTTTTTCATAGCTATTTTTGTGAGATGCCCAAAACTTATAAATAAGATTTGTGGTCATATAAGCTTCTTAAAAAATAAGTGAATACATAAATAATGTTTGATTAGCATCAGGGAGACCCAGATTTGTGTCTATGTGTTCTATAGAAACATTCACTTTTACTTGGTTGTTGATGGGATGAAATGAAGAGAAATCTTTTTGTAATTTGCTTTGAGCTCTTGGAAAAAAAGATAGGATATAGATGGGCAACTTTATCATGAGGACAAAACAATATGAATAAGAATAGTCTCGTATGGGCCATGGTTAACTTAAATCAGAAAAAGCCTTTAATGCATTTCTACTCAGGTGCTTTTCTAGTATGTTAGGACTATGGTGTATTTTACAAATAGTAGAATAATTACAAAAGATGAAATCACATATTAGTTAGAATAGCAACAATTGATGGATCTGGATAGCTTGGAAATTTGACTAGATGGAGTGTTATTAGCTGCAGTTAGATCTTTGTAATAAGGGCAATATAAAATAACATAGACAGGTGTTTTTGTACAAATAGGATGCTCATAATTTCCTCTTAAAATCAAAATGTGGGTTAAAATTAATTTCAGGAAGTATACAATCTATGCATGTTTTCCAACATTGCAGCTGTTTGGAAGTTAAGATGCCACAGAAGATATTCCAGGGTTTACTACGGCTGATGAAGATGCTGATTCATTTTTCCTATCTGAGGTTAAAGAAAGGGAGTGCTCTGATTTCAGATCGGAGAATTAATTATGATGCATTTTTGTAGCTCTCAAACCTTGTGGACAGAGCTTTGTCATTCGGAGAATCCAAGGTTCCCCTCATTTCAGCCCTATTTCCCCAAAGAGCCCAACCCTGCTGGGTCTTCTGAAAAGCTATGAAGTTCTGGCTGTTCCCCACCCACTTGGCCCAGGTTGTTAATCTGAAATGGATGCTGGTGTCCCTCTTTCTAGTGAGATTTTTTTTTATTTTAGGAGTCTCAATTTTATTTTCTTACATATTTTATGATTTTGTGGTTTGTCTCTATTCACCTCCCACAATTTATTTGGTAGATGGGTGACCCAATAAAGAATTGAAATAAACAAAAGGATTCCAGCAATCGCCCTAATTAAATCATGATTCTCAAGCTAAACTTCAAAAAATTTCAAAGGATTTATTAGAGGTGACATACTGGCATGATCCGTATGAAGCCAACACTGGCATACGTAATTTACAGTCACCTGTGATCCTGTTTCCCCACCTCCCCCCTGGGTGTCTCATAAACCAGATTCTCCAATTGAGCACATTCACGGTCTGGGTGCCATTATTCACATTCTCCAATTAAATATATTCGTGGGCAAAAGCTCTGGTATTTTAGTTACAATCTTGTAAAGATAAGAGTTGGAATGTACTTTTGCTTTCAAACTGCTGCACTGCTCTTCCAGATTTCCTTCCTCTCCCTCCCCCTTTTTTATGGCACTACTAAAACAGGCATAGGAATGTTAAATAAGCAAGAATGAGACAAGAGCTTTGAGATAAAATGAATAACATTGTTCTGTCTCAGACATATCCTCTTTCTTTATAATAAGCACAAATAAGCAGCATGAGAACAGGTCAACTTCACAAAAAAGAAACTAACTCAAGGAGGCTTCTACAATGATTTCTCATAACTACTGGTGAACCTTGTGTTCATCCTTTACTTCCAATTCAGGAATATTTTTTTATTTGTTTCTTGAAGTTGGTTGTGTCTATTTTAATTTAAAAAATTGTACTGTTCATTGATATCTCTTAATAAGGGATCTGTCAAAAAGATTAGAAAGTTATAATAGTATATACCCTCTGTCCTGATATTCTCCTTTCCTCTTTTTATTTAAAATTCTTTTTTTTTCTTTCCTCAGTTGCTTTTCTTTTATGAGAAATTGTACAGTTCAGAAATTACTTTTAGGTTTGCTTCAGTACATTTATCCAATTCTTTAGCTGGAAGGCAAGTGAATTATTTTTGATAGATGTGTATCAGTAGAGAATCACAATGCTGGCTATAGCTGGAGAATCATGATTTCCGTAAAAGTGTCAGACTTCACTGGTCTGCAGTCAACTATATTTGGCATACCATACTGCAGAAATTATAATAATGTGCACAGAATTTTTGATGAACATCTTTCTAAAATAACCCTTTCTTGGCTGAATTGGAGGGTAGAGTGACATTACGGCATAAAAACTGTGATCCAGATTGAGACCAGAACAAGAAGGAGTTATATCCCATATTTTGCATTGAGGAAAAAAAACTGCACTAGCATCTCTCTCTCTCTCTCTTTCTCTCTCTCTCTCTCTCTCTCTGTATATATATATATATATATATATATATATATATATATATATATATATATATATATATATATATGTGTGTGTGTGTGTGTGTGTGTGTGTGTGTGTGTGTGTGTGTGTGTGTGTACATATACACATTTGTATATATATATATATACACAAATGTGTATTGTATTCTGCTTGCACTGGCACAAAGCAGAAAGCACCAGCCTGAGGATAGCGAGTGGAACCTCGCCGAAACATCACCAAGATACTCTTAATCTTACACGGGAAAAGACCCGAACACACCTAGACCTACATGTACAAATATGCATATATATATACACACATACATACAAATATGCATACACACACACACACACACACACATATACCACACATACATATTTAACCCTTTGCATTTCAGTGCAAGCAACATATATAAAAGCAGGTTGCCATAGTGAAGCTAGACAGTAGAGTGTTATGGTCCTATTATCTTTTTTTTTTCCTTTTTAAAAACATTTGCAGATTATAGAACAAGGAATGGATTATTGGAAATGGTCTGCAATTGTTTTTAGCAGAAGTCAAATGAAAGCAGAGCCCACACATTTTTGAAAATGAAATAAATCAATGTAGCAGGATAGTTCCTACACTGTGTATATTCAGTTTTCCACTGCTTGGTGCCAAGTAGCTTTGGCTGAGAATTCTTAACACACCTGGAAAAACACTGGGATACAGCTGTAGTTTATGTACACTACAAAGGACTAGAATTGTGACTTCGTGCTTCACAATAAATTTAGTTCTATCCAAACCAAATATCCCTATGTTGGTCATTATGTTGAATGTGGTAATAGTGTTCTCCTACTGCACTTAGACCAATCAGAAAAATAGTTAATTAGAAAATGGTGGCTGGACCACTATGTGTCCTCTGAGATAAAATTTGGAAGTTTTTTTTATATGTTCTCTATTCATAGAAATATGTCATTAGACATATGCATATCACATTAAACAAAGCAAAAGCAAGAAGAGGCAGCTAGATTTACTTCTCCTGCATGACAGAAAATCTAATATTGTCCTGTGAATTCCTAGGTTTATGTTGAAGGAAAGAACTGTGATCGCTGTAAAGCCGGCTTCTTTAACTTGCAACAAGACAACCCCCAGGGCTGTGAGGCATGTTTCTGCTCAGGAATAACAAATGACTGTACAGATTCTCACTGGACTTACAGCACGGTAAGGAAAAGCAGAGAAATGCATACATCCAACAAGTGTATCTTTTATTTTAAATAAAATCTTAACATGAAACTCACTCTGTGGACTTTTTCTTTAACTTGCATATTTTCCCTCCTCAGAATAAACAACATGATTCTTCCTAGATAAAAGCCAAATTTTCTAAATTTTCACACTGGAGAAGTATTCCATTATCTATTCCAAAGTGAAAAAATGCAAACAGAACAATTTCCTCAGGGAAATTTAGTTTTTGGCTGTAAAAATATGTGAAAGAAATGGAAATGATATGATTTTTCAAACATAGATAAAATACATTCGGATTGATATGTATTCTGCTTCTATAACTGAACTTCCATCCTGTTCTGGAAAATTCCTTAATCCTCCAGATCTAATCTGGTGATGCACAGAATGCTGTGGGAGCAAAAATAAAAATCTGTAGTTAATTTTACAGTTCATAGATGGATAACCCACAGCCTAGTCGCCTACAGTTGTGCCTCAAACACAAACTCTACACCCTAGGAAGCCCTTCTCTGTTTTCCTTTCTGCCCAATGTATCCCCCACCATCAGGAGTGTGAGGAAAATACTACCAACACATCTGAGATCACCAGTAGGCCTCCTAGTCATATGTACATGCCCAGGGAAATGGATGTTTTTGCTTTAAGTTGATGTATCCATAGATGAGTAATGTTTTTTGACATTTATGGAAGCATGAATGAATATGTATACTAGTGAAGGTGAAGCTGAACAGAATTTATGTTCACCTGCTAGTGCATTTGTGTTTAATTTCAGACCCTGATACCTGTCCTTTGCCTCACTGATGGTAAAATTCAAAAGGAATAATCACTCTTAATCTTGATATTGAATTCATAATTTACCCGCTCAGATATTTAACTGTGAGATTTGTCAATAACCTCTGAATATTTCACTGGAATAATAATGAAATCAATTATTTTTTAAAAAAATTATTAAGAAGCATTATAGAAGGAAAGTTTTGCTGAATGTAACAGCCCCAAAAGATGTGGACCTTCAAAAGATTCAGGATTGTAATGAGAGATGACCATAGATGATGGAAATCTGTCACAACCAGCACTGCCGTTCCAAAGCCAGATTTATATAGCAGCTAATTAGCATTCACATCACCCCCAAAATTAATAAATAATAATGTATGTGATTCTCTTAGGTGCAATGGCTCGGTGGTTATAAACAATTGCCAGCTGGAGAGCTTACAACCCATTCAAGACCTGAGCTCTGCATAACGGAGTAAACTCCCATTACTTGCCCAGCTCCTGCTCAGCTAGCAGTTTGAAAGCATGCAAATGCAAATAGGTTAATAGGTACCACTGTGGTGGGAAGGTAACAGAGTTCCGTGCACCTTTGGCATATAGCCATGCTGGTCACATGATCACAGAAAATGTATTTGGACAACATTGGCTCTCTCAGCCAAGAAATGGAGATGAGCACCGTGCCCTAGAGTTGACTATGACTGGACAGGGAAACCATTATTTTTACCTATTTACTCCTATGTAACCCAGGCCAGGAGCAAGTAGATTTCTTTTTCTTTTTTAATCTAAATTATATTTGCTGGAAAGAGCATTGCCAGGTAAGTGTTGAATCCTTACCTGACGAAAATAATACAAATAAATGCTCCCCTTCATTGGCAGAGCTCATCCTTTCAACATATAGTCAGGAAAATATCAATTTGGCTAGAGTTTATCTGGATACACAAGAACAGGCAAGAAGTAGTGAATCTTCCTGCACACAGTCTTTAGTAACGCTGAGGTATGGTTATAGGATGGTAGATCATCACAAAGGAGACTTTAAACCTGATCTACCTATCAGAATATATGTCATTTTGTTTTGTAATCAATTATGTTACACGCTGAGACACTTTTTGCATAACTGGCAATTCAGTAACAAACTGAAAACAGTGAATTAGAAAGAGATGAGCAGGTAAAGCTGGTTATTCAAGAAAGGTGAATCCCAGGATTATTGCTAAGGCTGAGACTTAACTTCGGAACATCACTTGGTTAACATTCTTATTTTATTTTATTCATAAATAAAGTATTGGTGCTCTTCCAATGTAACAACTTCTAACCAAAAGAAGACTGCATTACAGGTAGTCCTCAACACAGAAGAGTTCATGCAGTGTCTCTTCAAAGTTACAATGGCACTGGAAAAAGTGACTAATGACCGTTTTTTACACAATCATTGCAGCATTCCCGTGGTCCTCCTGTGATCAGAATTCAGACATTTGGCAACTCACTCATTTTTATGATGGTTGCAGTGTTCTGGGGTCATGTGGTCACCATTTGCAACCTTCTGACACGCAAAGGGCTTTCAATGGGAAAGCCAGAGTCACTAAATAACTGTGTTACTAAATTAACAACAGTGATTCACTTAACAACTTTGGAAAGAAAGGTTGCAAAATGAGGCAAAATTCACTTAACAACTGTCTCACTTAGCAACAGAAATGTTGGGCTCAATTATGATCGTAACTCGAGGATTACCTTTTAAGCCTATTAAATATAGCAGAGATAATCATAACATAAGAAAGGAAATCATGCAATACCACTTAAAAGCTTTCCAAAATGCCAGTTATGTAACATATTACTTCTTATTACTTATACTGTCTCTGACCACTTAATTAAGTCCAGTGCTAGCACTCTTCTGGGCTTAAGTCCCTTATAGGCTTATAATTAATATTTCACCATGATATTGCAAGCAATTTGTAAATTCAGGCAATAAATAATGGTTTAATTTGGGTTTGACATCTTATCCTCAAACATTTCATTAATTAAGAGTGCTCTAATTGAGTTGAGCTTGGGAAAAATGTTTGGCTTAGATATGTTTTATCTTTGTTTACCATATACGCATACAAAATGAATGTCCCAAAGTTGCTTTTTCAAGAGGCAACTGGACTTTTTTGGGTTTTTTTCCTTTGAAAAAAATATTTTACTTCTCATCCAAGAAGCTTCTTCAGTTCTAGCTTATTTTTCTCCTTGTGAGGAGCCAGCTTCTTTCCGATTAGAAATCCTGTCAGCTTAAAGATACAGATACATTGTCTCCTATTTTTTTTTTTTTCAGTTTCATCTCAATCAGTTATAAAGGTTGGGGTAACTGAGCTATGAGCTCAACCAACCCCTCATATTTCCAATGATGTCAACCAAGGTGTGAGCAGGAAAAATACAGGACAAAAAGTTTAAGACTAAAAAAAAAAATCCCGTAATTCTGAAACAGGCTTTTATTGTTGGAGAAGACATATAATAATTTTCTTCCCTTTGAAGGAAACATTAGTAGTTGCCTTCAAGAAAAGCCTTGTCATATGACATATGTTGGGTTTTAATACCCTGATCTTGGTGCATCATTATCTTCTCTCATTTCCTGTTACAGGGTGATTTCATTATTTTTTCTTTCCTTGCTCGCACAGAAAGCCAAGTTTCTATTCCTATCCCCCTAACCCTGCCTGGTTTTGATAGAGTCTCTTGTTACAGATTCTTGCTAAAATAATTGTCAGGCAAATCCTTATTCTGTAGCAAGTATTAATAGGATAATGTTTCCTTTTTCCTATTCCATGCATGATCATGGTCTTATTCTTGTTATATAGAGTTTGGCTAATTTTGCCATAAAGAAATGTATCTAATCTGAACATTCTTTTCAATGCATTCAATGCAACTTTAATCTCATTACAAGTCTGGAATTTATAAAATTATAATAAGTCAAAATGCCTCTTTTCCTATTTGCCTTTTTAATTTTTCATCTTCTTCAAATATGAAGAGAAAATTTCAGTGACCCATTGAAAATCATAAGAATGAAACATTCTACTAAACATTTCTTTAGGTTGCCAAGTTCAAGTCAACCATGGATTTTTAAAATATATAGTATGACCTTATCATATCTTCTCAAGAAGCTTTTCTCCTTATTTCATTGATGTGTATACCAGAAGATGTGTTCATTTAACACTACAAACTTAAACTTGTGTTTCTGTTGATTTGTCAAAGTATGGGAAATTAGTTAATTATTTTGCCCTAGTTTTCTCAAGGAGAAGTATATTAAACCCTACTCTCAATATTAAATGAGAAACTATTAAGGGCCAGTTTTGTATAGAGATTAAGGTGCTGGACTTGACATCAGGAGACTATCTATTCTAATGAGTTCTAGTCTTCTCTAAGCATGAACGTTGATTCATCCATTTGGGCCATTCTCTCTCAGTCCAACCCACTGAGGGATGTTGCAAGGAGATGGGAAAATTTTGTACATTGCCTTGAATTGTGGAAAATAAAAGTGGGATATTAATATTAATATGAAAGCAAACAAAAGGAAAGAAGCAAAGGGTTTGAAGGGGAAGGTTTGTTCTCCAAGCTTATGCGTTGGTTTCCAAACGTTTCATTATCAGACTAGGTAACATCTTCAGCAGAGTTTAGGGGATGGAGTTCTAACACAGTTTTAAAAAGGTTTTTTTTAAAAAAATGAAAGAAAGTTGTGGATATTAACTAGTATTTTTCTTCATTATCATAGATTATGGACATGAATGGCTGGCATTTGACTGATGAATGGGGTCTTGCTAAAATTACTCCTCAGCAGGACACTTTCGATGGACCTCAGCAACTGAGCATCAGTAACACAGTTGCAAGAACTGTTCTGCAGCCTATTTATTACTGGAGTGCACCCAGTCCTTATTTGGGTAACAAAGTAAGTATTGATTTTTGCCTGAGAGCTAATTTGATGTATCAGTAATGAATATGAATATATATATATATATATATTCTTAAGTTTTTGCAAGTATCTATATGTATGGTATTTTCCCACGTCAAAGCTGAATACCATATATATATATATATTTATATGGCATTCAGCTTTGTTCGGGTATTTTCCCACGTCATAGTTGTGCTTTTAAAGTTGTAGCGATGTTTCGGCAGAATCTCATCTGCCATCATCAGGCTTCTGTATAGTGTTCATCTGTGAGTCAGGCTTTTACAGTGGTTTCAGATTTGAATTTGGGGCA